CTGCTGCATCACACTGTTGGCTCATGTTCACCTTGTTGTCCACAAAGACTCCAAGATCTCTCTCAAACAGATTGTTGTCGAGCCAAGCTTTACCCATCCTGCATCTCTCCAAAGAGCCTATTGACTTTTGGTAAATCTAGAGTGAATCTGTCACATGTTTTTCTTGGCTTCACTTTTGGACTTGATAAGGGAGACCCAAAATGATCCAAAGTATAGAAGTGAAGCCAAGAAAAAAACATGCGATAGATTCACTCTAGATTTGCCAGAAGTCTCTTTGCAGAGATATTTATTTATTTACGACATTTCTATGCAGCCCTTCTCACCCGAAGGGGACTCAGAGCGGCTTACTATATATATATATATATAGACACACACACACATACACATACACACACACACAGTAACTAGCTGTTACTAGTCCTACCACGCGTTGCTGTGGCCCACTCTGGTGGTCATGGGGGTTCTGCGTGGGAGGTTTGGCACAATTCTATTGTTGGTGGGGTTCAGAATGCTCTGAGATTGTAGGTGAACTATAAATCTCGGCAACTACAACTCCCAAATGTCAAGATTCTATTTTCCCCAAACTCCAGTGTTCCCATTTGGGCATACTGAGTATTCTTGTAGAGTTTCGTCCAGATCCATCATTGTTTGAGTCCACAGTCCTCTTTGGATGTAGGTGAACTACAACTCCGAAACCAAAGGACACTGCCCACCAAACCCTTCCAGTATTTTCTATTGGTCATGGGAGAACTGTGTGCCAAGTTTGGTCAATTCCATCATTGGCGGAGTTTAGAATGTTCCTTGATTTTAGGTGAACTATAAATCCCAGCAACTACAACTCCCAAGTGACAAAATCAATTTTTTGAGTGAAGGACATACATTGGGTTGTTAGGTGCCTTGGGTCCAAATTTGGTGTCAATTCGTCCAGTGGTTTTCGAGTTATGATAATTCCACAAACTAACATTACATTTTTATTTATATAGATTAATATAGCACAGGAGACAAGATGGAACTGTCTTCCTGGCCCTCTCTCTCTTCGCTTTAGCCCAGAGCAGCAGATACAGGATAGGTGATGCCTGGCTTAACAACAGTCCGTGTTAGAAGATCTTGGAGTCTTCATGGACAACATGAGCTAACACTGTGATGCAGCAGCTCAAAAAGCCCATGGGATTTTGGGCTGCATAAAAAATATATGGTGTCTAGATCGAGGGAAGTCATTTTGGGTCTCCCTTATTCAGACACATTCTACCTGCTCCATATCCATATCTTAAACCCAGAACCGAACACAGGTATTCTAGGTGAGATCTGACCAAAGCAGACTAGAGTGGGACTAGGACTTCCTCAATTTAGACACAAACTTGCATGGGTTTTTTTTTAAAGCCAGATGTCACCCACCGAACCTGACTTTTTCTCCACTTGGAAAGAGACAGCCTTGGTTGGATCTTGACAGATTAGAGAGATGAGGGGCCAAAACTAACAAAATGAAGTTCAATGGGGACAAATGCAAGATACTCCACTTAGGCAGAAAAAAATTAGAGATACAAAATTAGAGATACAGAATGGGGGATGCGTAGCTCGAGAGTAGGATGCGTGAAGAAGATTTTGGAGTCCTCATGGACAACAAGTTAAACATGAGCCAACAATGTCATGCGGTGGCAAAAAAAGCCAATGGGATTTTGGCCTGCATCAATAGGAGTCTAGTGCCTAGATCCAGGGATGTCATGCATAGATATAGATAGATAGATAGATAGATAGATAGATAGATAGATAGATAGATAGATAGATAGATAGATAGATAGGATGGATGGATGGATGGATGGATGGATGGATGAGAGATAGATAGAAATAGATAGATAGATAGAGATAGATAGATAGATAGATATGATAGATAGATAGATAGATAGACAGACACATAGATGGGTGAATGGACGGATAGATGAATAGATGGATGGATGGATGGATGGATGGATGGATGGATGGATGGATAGATAGATAGATAGATAGATAGATAGATAGATAGATAGGGAGATAGATGGAGAGATTGATAGATCGATAGATGGGTAGGAGGATGGATGGATGGACGGACGGACGGACAGACAGACAGCCAGATAGAGAGACAGACAGACACATAGATGGGTGAATGGATGGATAGATTAATGGATGGATGGATGGATGGATGGATGGATAGAGAGAGAGAGAAAGAGAGAGAGATGGGTGGGAGGATGGATGAATGGATCAATAGACAGACAGACACACAGATGGGTGAATGGATGGATAGATGAATGGGTGGATGGATAGATAGAGAGAGAGAGAGAAAGAGAGAGAGAGATGGGTGGGAGAATGGATGGCTGAATGGATCAATAGACAGACAGACAGACACACACACAGATGGGTGAATGGATGGATAGATGAATAGATGGATGGATGGATGGATGGATAGATAGGGAGATGGAGAGATGGGTGGGAGGATGGATGGATAGATAGACAGACACATAGATGGGTGAATGGATGGATAGATGGATGGATGGATGGAGAGAGAGAGAGAGAAATGCATGGGAGGATAGATGGACGGACGAACAGACAGACACATAGATGGGTGAATGGATGGATAGATGAATAGATAGACTGATGGATGGATAGAGATAGAGAGAGAGAGAGAGATGCGTGGGAGGATGGATGGACGGACGAACAGACAGACAGACAGACAGACACATAGATGGGTAAATGGATGGATAGATGAATAGATGGATGGATGGATGGATGGATAGAGATAGATAGATAGATAGATAGAGTCCCACTGTGTCCAATTCTGGGCACCACAATTGAAGGGAGGTGTTGACAAGCTGGAATGTGTCCGGAGAAGGACGACTAAAATGATCAAGGGTCTGGAGAACAAGTCCTATGAGGAGCGGCTTAAAGAGCTGGGCATGTTTAGCCTGCAGAAGAGAAGGCTGAGAGGAGACATGATGAGGGCCATGGATAAATATGTGAGGGGAAGTCCTAGGAAGGAGGGAGCAAGCTTCCTTTCTGCCTCCCTGGAGACTAGGACGCAAGGGAACAATGGATTCAAACTACAAGAAAGGAGATTCCACCTGAACATTAGGAAGAACTTCCTGTGAGAGCCGTTCAGCAGTGGAACTCTCTGCCCCGTAGTGTGGTGGAGGCTCCTTCTTTGGAGGCTTTTAAAGAGGCTGGATGGCCATCTGTCGGGGGTGCTTTGAACGCGATTGTCCTGCTTCTTGGCAGAATGGGGTTGGACTGGATGATGGCCCAACTCTAGGATTCTCTGATCTTCAGTGGTGGTTCTCCTTCCTAATACGCGTCCCTTTCCTCTTCCTCCAAAGAGCCTTCAGGGCTTGACGGGGACCCCGCTGGTGGCCGGAAGCCCCATCCGGCACGACAGCGCTCTGCAGGGCAACGCGGTGGAGGTCCAGACGTACCAACCCCCTTGGAAAGCCCTCAGCGACTTCGCCCTCCAGAGCGACTTGGACCAGCCAGCCTTCCAACAATTGGTAAGAGAACCAGGAGAAGCACCCCTCACGCCTTCCCCATTGCTTGGCTCATGGGTTGACCCATGCCAAGTTGAGACAGATGGAGCGTATGGCATGGAAAGCAACACATTTATTATGGTTGCTTTGAGTTCCCCCCTTAAGCGGAATACTTGAGGGAAGTCTATCCATATTTCCTATACAGTCACTATGTTTGCAGAAAGAAGATAATAATGCTAAGAACACGATTGTTGTTCCTGGGTTATAAATGCCATGTCCTAATTAGTCATATAATAAAAACATGGGAAAAAGTTGATTAAGCTGCACAAAGTTTGTTTTTGCGGGAGGGACAAAACAAAGCACATTTTGCTCTAGTTTTCCAATGAGAAACTGCAAGTTGCTTCTGGTGTGAGAGAATTGGCTGTCTGCAAGAACGTTGCCTGGATGTTTCGATGGTTTAGCATCCTTGTGGGAGGCTTCTCTCATGTCCCCTTTGCATGGGGAGCTGGAGCTGAAAAAGGGAGCTCAATCAGTTCTCCTTGGATTTGAATCGCTGACATGTTGGTCAACAGTTTTGCTGGCACTAGGGTTTAACACATTGTGCCACCGGGGGCTCTATATAGTGTATTATTATTATTATTATTATTATTATTATTATTATTATTATGCGATTCTCAAGAAGCAAAGTGTGTGTGTGTATACACACACACACAAGAATGTAACCCATTGCGCCACTGGGGCCCCCAGTGTAATATATTGTTGTTGTTGTTGGGCTCCATATAGTATAATAATAATAATAATAATAATAATAATAATAATAATAATAATAATAATATATTATTATTATTATTATTATTATTATTATTATTATTATTATTATTATGCGATTCTCAAGAAGCAAAGTGTGTGTGTGTGTGTATGTACACAAACACACACACACAAGAATGTATCCCGTTGCGCCACTGGGGCCCCCAGTGTAATATATTGTTGTTGTTGTTGGGCTCCATATAGTATAATAATAATAATAATAATAATAATAATATATTATTATTATTATTATTATTATTATTATTATTATTATTATGCGATTCTCAAGAAGCAAAGTGTGTGTGTGTGTGTGTATGTACACAAACACACACACACAAGAATGTAACCCATTGCGCCACTGGGGCCCCCAGTGTAATATATTGTTGTTGTTGTTGGGCTCCATATAGTATAATAATAATAATAATAATAATAATAATATATTATTATTATTATTATTATTATTATTATTATTATTATTATTATTATGCGATTCTCAAGAAGCAAAGTGTGTGTGTGTGTGTGTATGTACACAAACACACACACACAAGAATGTAACCCATTGCGCCACTGGGGCCCCCAGTGTAATATATTGTTGTTGTTGTTGGGCTCCATATAGTATAATAATAATAATAATAATAATATATTATTATTATTATTATTATTATTATTATTATTATTATTATTATTATTATGTGATTCTCAAGAAGCAAAGAGTGTATGTGTATATGCACACACACACACACACACACACACACACACACAAGAATGTAACCCATTGGGCCACTGGGGCCCCCAGTATAGTATATTGTTGTTGTTGTTGTTGAGCTCCATATAGTGTAATATCATCATCATCATCATCATCATCATCATTATTATTATTATGTGATTCTCAAGAAGCAGTGTGTGTGTGTGTACACAAACACACACACATACACACACACAAGAATGTAACCCATTACGCCACTGTAATATATTGTTCTTGTTCCTGTTGGGCTCCATATAGTGTAATTTTTTATTATTATTATTATTATTATTATTATTATTATTATTATTATTATTATTATTATGTGATTCTCAAGAAGCAAAGTGTGTGTGTGTATATGACACAAATATAATATATAATAAAAATATAATGAAGCAAGGAATAATACATTATTATTATTATGCAAACTTCTTAAGAAGAATATATACATACACACACACACACTGATTCTTGAGAATCACATAACAATAATAATAATAATAATAGTGTTAATAATAATAATAATAATAATAATAATAATGTAATAATAGCTGAGGGCACAGTGGGTTAAACCGCTGAGGTGCTGAACTTGCTGACTGAAAGATCTCCAGTTTGAATCCAGGGAGCAGGGTGAGCTCCCACTGTTAGCCCCACCTTCTGCCAACCTAGCAGTTCAAAAAACAGGAAAACGTGAGTAGATTAAAAAGTACTGCTTCTGCAGGAAAGTAACAGTGCTCCATGCAGTCATGCTGGCCACATGACCTTGGAGGTGTCTATGGACAATGCCGGCTCTTCAGCGTAGAAATGGAAATGAGCACCAGAGTCGCAGAGTCAGGCATGGCTAGACTTAATGTCAAGGGGAAACCTTTACCTAACCTTTATATATGTGTGAGAGAGAAGAATATAATATAATATAATATAATATAATATAATATAATATAATATAATATAATATAATATAATATAATATAATATAATATAATATAATATAATATAATATAATATAATATAATATAATAATATAAAATATAAAATATATAATAATATAATGAGGAACATATTTTTTCAAGTTTTGTTGCCTAGTGTTATGGTTGCTTCTGGTTCTGCCCTGTTTCCATATTTCCTATACGGTCATTGTGTTTGGAGGAAGAAGTTAAGAATGATTGTATAAATCCCTTGCAATGTTTAGCTATGATAGCGACGGCCTGAAATGTGCGAGATGCAGAATTAAAGGAGCGTTGGCCGCACCAGGAGAGCAGCCGGATGAAATATAGATCCCTTAGACACACAATCAGACCCTTGGACCTATGAAATATAGATCCCAGCTGCTGCTGGACCTCTGCCCAAGAGGAGAGGAAGGAGCCCTCGGAAAATCTAGCGCAGTGTGGCGCCCTTTGAGGGATTGGCAGAAATATGGGCTTTTCCATGTTGTTGTCTCTCGGCTGGGCTGTTCCCGGGAAAGGAGCGAAGGCCAGGCTTTTCTCGGAAGAGCAACACAGGGATATTAACACTTACTTAGGCTTATCTGGATGGATGGGCCATATTTAAGCATTCCCTTCCTTCCCTATTTCTTCCTTCCTTTCCCATTCTTTCCCTCTTTCCTTCCCAATTTCTTTCTTCCCTCTTCCTTCCTTTATTCCTTCCTCCCTCTTCCTTCCTTGTTCCTTCTTTCCTCCCCTATTCCTTCCTTCTTTCCTTCCCCACTTCTTCCTTCTTTCTCTATTCCTTCCTGATTTCTTCCTTCCTTCCCCCTATTTCCTCTTTCCTTCCTCCTTCCTTCCCTATTTCTTCCTTCCTTCCTGCCTTTATTCCCTATTTCTTCCTTCCTTATTTATTTATTCCTTCCTTCCCCATTTCCTCCTTCCTTCCTCCTTCCTTCCCTATTCCTTCCTTCCTGCCTACCTTTATTCTTCCTTCCCTATTCCTTCCTTCCCTATTCCTTGCTTCTCTATTTCTTCCTTCCTTCTCTTATTTCCTCCTTTCTTCCTCATTCCTTCCCTACTCCTTCCCTATTTCTTCCTTGCTTCCTTTATTCTTCCTTTCATATTTCTTCCTTTGCTTCCCTATTCCTTCCTTCTTTCCTTCCATCCTTCTTTATCTATTCCTTCCTTCTCTATTTCTTCCTTCATTCCTTCCCTATTTCTTCCTTACTTCCCTCCCTCCCTATTTCCTCCTCCCTTCCTTCTTTATTCCTTCTTTCCTTCCCTATTTCTTCCTGCCTTCCTTATTTCTTTCCTTCTCTATTTCTTCCTTCTTTCTTTATTCCTTCTTTCTCTATTTCTTTCTTCTTTCCTTCCCTACTTCTTCCTTCCTTTATTTCTTCCCTATTCTTTCCTCCTTCCTTCCCTACTCCTTCCCTATTTCTTCCTTCCATATTTCTTCCTTCCTTCCCTATTCCTTCCTTCCCTTCCCTATTCCTTCCTTCTTTCCTTCCCTACTTCTTCCATCCTTTTCTCTATTTCTCCCTTTCTATTTCTTCCTTCATTCCTTCCCTATTTCTTCCTTACTTTGCTCCCTCCCTATTTCCTCCTTCTTTCCTTCTTTATTCCTTCTTTCCTTCCCTGTTTCTTCCTGCCTTCCTTATTCCTTTCCTTCTCTATCCCTTCCTTCTTTCTTTAGTCCTTCCTTTTTTCCTTCCCTACTTCTTCCTTCCTTTATTTCTTCCCTATTCCTTCCTCCCTCCCTATTTCTTCCTTTATCCTTTTCTCTTCTTTCCTGTCTTCCATTCTGTTTTTCTCTGAAATGAGATTCAAAGCCGCTTCCAATAAACTCAAAGGAGTGCTTGGTTGAGGAACCCTTTCGGGTGCCTTACAGCAGAAGGAACGCAGCTCGATCCCACTCGAACCACCATGGGTCAATGCTACGGAGTCATGGGAATTGTAGTTGTGCAAGATTTTACAAGATCTTTAGCCCAGGAGTCCATAGTTAAAGTGCTATCAAATTGCATTTGTTCTGCAGCGTAGATGCACCTTAAGAAATGCTGCCTTCCTTCTTTTGCAGGTCTCCTTTTCGGAATCCGGCTCCCTGGGAAACTCCTCCGGCAGCGACGTGACCTCCTTGTCTTCCCAGCTCCCCGACACCCCCAACAGCATGGTTCCCAGCCCCGTGGAGACGTGAAGAAGACGGCGTTTTGGCCCCCTCCTGTGTCCAGCCGCCTTCTCCCCATGGACTTGTGCATGCCCCTGCTCCCTGCATGAGATCCTGAGCTCCGTGCAAAGTCCGCTCTTTAAATTATTACCTTTATTTAAAAATCCGGCGCCTTGTTCTTCTCATATCCATGTCGCTTAACCACTCCGGATTTTTACGGCAAGCAAGGACTAAGCAAAGCAAGGCTTCCCATGGACTCTGGTCTTCCCCACTCCCTTGGATCTTACTAGAGCTACACTCCAACCAGGTCATGGCACTTGTACAGAATATTTCTTCTTTTGTTATCTCTTTTAATTTGGAAAGAACAAGCTTTTTGGAACTTGAGGGTCTTCCTTCACTTGGGTTGGTCTTCACTGCCTCCGTCGTCTCAAGACCTATTGCTATGCTGTGTTCATCTTGGCCAGCTCCACAAACCCATCACTGATCAATAGGTGACTTCAACCCAAATTCACAATTGATCACTAGGTGACTTCAAACCAAATACATCATTGATCACCAGGTGACTTCAACCCAAATTCACAATTGATCACCAGGTGACTTTAACCCAAATGCATCATTGATCCCCAGATGACTTCAACCCAAACTCATCATTGATCACCAGATGACTGCAACCCTAAACTCATCATCGATTGCTAGGTGACTTCATCCAAATGCATCATTTATCACCAGGTGACTTCAACCCAAACACATCATTGATCATTAGTTGACTTCAAGCCAAACTCATCATCGACTGCTAGGTGACCTCAACTCAAAAACATCATTGATCATTAGCTGACTTCAACCCAAACTCACAACTGATCACCAGATGATTTCAACCCTAAACCCATCATCGATTGCTAGGTGACTTCAACCAAATGCATCATTGATCACCAGGTGACTTCAACCCAAACACATCATTGATCATTAGTTGACTTCAAGCCAAATTCACAACAGATCACCAGGTGATTTCAACCCTAAACTCATCATTGATTGCTAGGTGACTTCAACCCAAACTCATCATCAGTCATCAGCTGACTTCAACCCAAACTCACAACTAATTATTTCAACCTTAAACTCATCATTGCTCGGTGACTTCAACCCAAACTCATCATCAAACATCAGTTGACTTCAACCCAAACTCACAACTAATTGTTTCAACCCTAAACTCATCATCAATTGCTAGGTGACTTCAACCCACTCATCATTGATCATCAGTTGACTTCAACCCAAATTGACAACAGATCACCAGATGATTTCAACCCTAAAGTCATCATCGATTGCTAAGTGACTTCGACCCAAACTCATCATCAATCATCAGCTGACTTGAACCCAAACTCACAACTAATTATTTCAACCCTAAACTCATCATCGATTGCTAGGTGACTTCAACCCACTCATCATTGATCATCAGTTGACTTCACCCAAACTCACAACTGATCACCAGATGATTTCACACCTAAACTCATCACCAATCGCCAGGTGATTTCACTTGGGCCAACCAACCTTAAGCCTCTGGGGAAATCCGGAACTTCTCATTTTGTGTCAACGTCAAGAGGAGGACTATTTTTTGGCTCTTTTCTTCTTGAGCCCGCATGACTGCTGGAAAATTAATCCACACGACTTGATCTTTTGCCTTTCCCCCCCTTTCCCCCCTTGCCAATGTTAAATTATCTTATGGATGGAGATGTGGTTGTCTTGAGCGTTTGGAGACCAAAGTAAGTTATTGTTATTTATTGTCATGGCAGCAGAGAAATGGTGAGATTGATATTTTGACCTTCATAATTATGATGATAATAATAAAAAGAGAACAAAGTACCTGAAGGTGAGGAAAACGATACTCCGGTCTGTCTGTGTCAATCGTTGCTTGGCGTTGACGTCAATAGAGTCAGACGGGTGATTATTTCAAAATAATCGGTTGAGTTTCTGCATCGGAGGCTACGATGTGTAACTTTTTATAGCGGAGTTACACCACTGAAATGATACGCAATGGTGTTAGTGAATTGTTTCAACTCATAGGAAGGCATCAGGGTCGGATTTGTCCAGACGAGAACCAAAATGGTCAAAGGTCTGGAAACGATATATGTTGAGGAGCTTGGTATGTTCAACTTGGAGCATAGAGGTTAACAGTGGACATAAGAGCCAGCTTTAAATGTTTGAAAGGATGTCTTCTCAGGTCTATCTCAGGTACATGTGGGACTGAAGTTTCATAGAATCCTAGAGTTGGAAGAGACCTGGTGGACCATCATGCAGTCCAACCCCATTCTGCCAAGAAGCAGGGAAAGGGTGTCTTCTGAGGTCTATCTCAGGTACCCGTGGGACTGAAGTCTCATAGAATCCTAGTTGGAAGAGACCTGGTGGACTATCATCCAGTCCAACCTCATCCTGCCAAGAAGCAGGGAAAGGGTGTCTTCACAGGCCTATCTCAGGTACATGTGAGACCAGGCATGTAGCCGGGGGGGGGGGGGCTCGAGGGGCTTCAGCCCCCCCCGAAATTCTCATGGTGGTTCGCGAAAAGGCCTTACTGGTGCATTATTTAAACTGTTATGTTTGTTCATATCATGATCTGATCACCATACTCAATATATCCCATAAGCATGGGGGTATTGGGGTAATGATACAAAAGGTTTGCTAGGCTAGACCCTCTTTCACTCAGACTCAGCCCCCCCAACCCCCCCGAAAAAAACTCAGCCCCCCCCCCAAAACAAAATCCTGGCTACGGGCCTGTGTGAGACTGAAGTCTCACAAATCCTAGAGTTGGAATAGACCTGGTGGGCCATCATCCAGTCCAACCCCATCCTGCCAAGAAGCAGGAAAAGGGTGTCTTCTCAGGTCTATCTCAAGTATGTGAGGGACTGAAGTCTCACAGAATCCTAGAGTTGGAAGAGACCTGGTGGGCCATCATCCAATCCAACCCCATTCTGCTAAGAAGCAGGGAAAAGGTGTTTTCTCAGGCCTATCTCAGGTACGTATCGGACTGAAGTCTCATAGAATCCTAGAGTTGGAAGAGACCTGGTGGGCCATCATCCACTCCAACCACATCCTGCCAAGAAGCAGGGAAAGGGTGTCTTCTCAGGCTTATCTCAGGTACGTGTGGGACTGAAATCTCACAGAATCCTAGAATTGGAAGAGACTTGGTGGGCCATCATCCAGTCCAACCCTATCCTGCCAAGAAGCAGGGAAAGGGTGTCTTCTCAGGCCTATCTCAGGTACGTGTGGGACTGAAGTCTCACAGAATCCTAGAGTTGGAAGAGACTTGGTGGGCCATCATCCAGTCCAACCCCATCCTGCCAAGAAACAGGGAAAGGGTGTCTTCTCAGGTCTATCTCAAGTATGTGAGGGACTGAAGTCTCACAGAATCCTAGAGTTGGAAGAGACCTGGTGGGCCATCATCCAATCCAACCCAACCCCATTCTGCTAAGAAGCAGGGAAAAGGTGTTTTCTCAGGCCTATCTCAGGTACGTATCGGACTGAAGTCTCATAGAATCCTAGAGTTGGAAGAGACCTGGTGGGCCATCATCCACTCCAACCACATCCTGCCAAGAAGCAGGGAAAGGGTGTCTTCTCAGGCTTATCTCAGGTACGTGTGGGACTGAAATCTCACAGAATCCTAGAATTGGAAGAGACTTGGTGGGCCATCATCCAGTCCAACCCCATCCTGCTAAGAAGCAGGGAAAGGGTGTCTTCTCAGGCCTATCTCAGGTACCTGTGGGACTGAAGTCTCACAGAATCCTAGAGTTGGAAGAGACCTGGTGGACCATCATCTAGTCCAACCCCATTCTGCCAAGAAGCAGGGAAAGGGTGTCTTCTCAGGCCTATCTCAGGTACGTGTGGGACTGAAGTCCCACAGAATCCTAGAGTTGGAAGAGTCCTGGTGGGCCATCATCCAGTCCAACCCCATTCTGCTAAGAAGCAGGGAAAGGGTGTCTTCTCAGGTCTATCTCAGGTACCTGTGGGACTGAAGTCTCACAGAATCCCAGAGTTGGAAGATAGCTGGTGGGCCATCATCCAGTCTAACCCCATTCTGCTGAGAAGCAGGGAAAGGGTGTCTTCTCAGGTCTATCTCAAGTATGTGAGGGACTGAAGTCTCACAGAATCCTAGAGTTGGAAGAGACCCGGTGGGCCATCGCCCAGTCCAACCCCATTCTGCCAAGAAGCAGGGAAAGGGTGTCTTCTCAGGTCTATCTCAAGTATGTGTGGGACCAAAGGCTCACAGAATCCTAGAGTTGGAAGAGACCTGGTGTTCCATCGCCCAGTCCAACCCAATAATAATAATAATAATAATAATAATAATAATAATAATAATTCTGCCAAGAAGCAGGGAAAGGGTGTCTTCTCAGGCTTATCTCAGGTATGTGTGGGACTGAAGTCTCATAGAATCCTAGAGTTGGAAGAGACCTGGTGGGCCATCATCCAGTCCAACCCCATTCTGGCAAGAAGCAGGGAAAGGGTGTCTTCTCAGGCTTATCTCAGGTATGTGTGGGACTGAAGTCTCACAGAATCCTAGAGTTGGAAGAGACCTGGTGGGCCATCATCCAGTCCAACCCCATTCTGCCAAGAAGCAGGGAAAGGGTGTCTTCTCAGGCTTATCTCAGGTACGTGTGGGACTGAAGTCCCACAGAATCCTAGAGTTGGAAGAGACCTGGTGGGCCATCATCC